TATATTTAAAAACTTTTTCCCAGCAAAATATCTCAAAAAGAACAAACTATTCAATAAAAAGAGAAAAATATCAACAAGTTCATGAAATAAAATGCACATGAGGATTGCGAAATAAATATTTTTGTCATACGATCGCCAAATAGCAGCCACATCCTTCTCCCCAAAATAGCGAAATAGTATCATCCGATACCACGTGAGGAAGGCGGAGCCAAGTGCCAACTCCTGGTAAACGAACTATACTTCCAGGGGTATAATTTGTTATGGGAACCTGGAGGACTTTGTGACCCGACAGATCTAACGTGAATCGATCACCAGCTGGATTTAAACTCCCATTTTCATGAACATTAGCAGAGATGCCAACTGCTCCGGACACGCCAAAATAATTAAAAAAACGGTAAATAACTACAAAGTAAATTCTGAAAATATTTGACTATTTTAGCTTGCTTTTTAAGAGGTATAGCATGACATAATTACATTAAAGTGGTGAATTATATAAGCCTACGAATTATTTAGAAATAGTGGTGGATAAAAATCTACTGAATTGAATTTATTAAACCAGGAATCACAATTGATAAACTACCACTTTAAAATATATGTTTGCTGTCCGGAGCAAGTTGGCATCTCTGCATTAGTCCAGCTCTCTGCCAACCAGGCTATCCTAGCCGACCCAGAATATATAATTTTATATTATTATTTTCTAGTTGATTTCAATAAGCAGCTTCTCCTATTATAAGTGCTAAGATTAAGGATAAAAGATTTCAGTTACCAGTCTTTGACATTTTGAAAAAAAAGTTCCAAGAATGAAACATGGTCGCTTAAACAATTAAAATAGAATTTACAAATTAATTCAAGTGAAATTTTCCCTATATTTCCTATTATATTTCTGTGTAAGTAGTAGTTCTAGAAATTGTAAAAAAGTTATTTTTCACCCTGATTTGAAAATAAACAAATAAGAAAGGCCATACAATCTATCAAACATTTATATTAAAATTTAAAAGTCTGGACTTACACAATACAATTTTGTTTCATTCAAGCTCCTTAACTGAAGTATTAAAAGCAAAGACTCATATCTAAATATAAAAAGTACAAATACTAAGATTAAGCAAGAAATGACTGACTAAAATACTAAATGAAGAGTATTCAGATATTTTCAGAAAAACTTTAAGTGCACGTATGATTGAGCTTAGTTCATGACATGAATAATAATTTATTAAATGGTTTTGGCGAATAAAATTAGATTTCATGCTCCGCATTAAATATGAGGCTGACTTTTAATGGAATAGAAAGCCAACAACTACTTGAACGTGTTTAAGTTACACGTGTGGTAGAAATTTTCCTTCTTAATAATTCGGTTGATGATCTGTCAAATTTTATCCTCTGCTATTCTTTCTTGTAAATGAATTTTAGAATGTGATTCACGAAAAAAAAGTGACCTTCGTGATTTACGCAAGAAACTCTCAATAATGGTAAGGAAGAAAAAAAAATTAAGGCAAGGTCTCATACCTGCCAACTTTTAATCCCTTCCATTATCATTTTTCCCAGTGGTATTAAAATGGAATTAAAACTTCAATTTTAAGCAAACAAATACGTTGTATATAAGCAATCCTAAGTTGACAATCATGATAGTAACCCATATTAATATATGTGCTTAATTTTTGTAAGAATAGTGGTGATCAAAATCATTTAAAAATTAAGTTTATAAAGGAAAAAATAGTACATATTTACTACCACTTTAAATAAAATATGAAAACAAAATCTTCCGGAAAATCCGGAAGAATTGGCAGGCATGAGGTCTTTTGAAAGGTTATATATATTTTCGATTTTTGATAAAAAAATATTTTATTGAGTGGTAGACAGTAAAAAGCAAAAGCTCTCAAAATTTTTGTTAACTTCGCCAGCGTTTATTGATAGAGTAGGGGTCAAAGCCTGGTACTAAAATTAAAATAATGATAAGACAGTCTTGAAATTATTCTTTTATTGTGGACAAAATGAAAAACATTTTAACTAATAAAAGTTATGTTAACAATCTAAATATTAAAATTTAGTTCTAACACTACGTGCTGTGTAGTTTTTAAATTGATGGAAAACAAAAAAAAGTTGCATATTTTGTTAACATTAACACGCTGAACGCCATGCTAATTTTACATGTCTTGCCCGTCAGGCCACAGCGGTAAGTAACAACAAACTAAATTTGCAAAAATTAGACAGATTTTGCTAGATTTTAAAAGATTTAGCATGACATATCTGAAAAAAGTGGTGAATTACATTACGAATTGTTTAAAAATAGTGGTGGATAAAACCTAGTAAACTGAATTTATTAAACCAAGAATCACAATAATTAAGTAAATTTTACCAAGAATCACAATAATTAAGTAAATTTTGAATAAATTTTCTGCAATTCCATAACAGAGTATAAATTTTATCGCTCTATATCATGTTATACGCTGTAAGCCAGCTGTTTTTCGCAGCCTATGTGAAAGGTCAGTGTCAGCAAGCGGTGGCAGACGCAGCCTAAATGTAATTTCAGTGTCAGCCATCGATGGCTGACGCAGCATAAATGTAATTTCAGTGTATTACAATATGTAATTTCAGTGTATTACAGTATTACCACTTATGACTGACGTGGCGCTCAACGTGTTAAATGAAAACTTTAGCATGATAGCTACTTTTTAAAAATTTTTTATAGGAAGCTTCAGATCCTGATAGTAATTCAAGATCTATATCACCGATATTGTAATACGTGGTGGTAGCCACAAACGAATAGTTGAATTGGGATATTCATCAATCATGAATTAAATTTTAACCACATTCCACTGTAATGAATCTTCTTAACTAAGTGTTAAAACTAATGAATTTCAGAAGGAATATATTTAAGAAATTAATTTAGAATTGAATAACTAAGTGTAAAAACCATTGAACTTAATATCTAAAATGAAATTAAAGTTCTGATCAGTGGTATGAAACAATTTTCACCACGCTAAAAAAAAATCTTTCCACAGCGTTGTAAACCTGATTATTTTCGTAACAGCTGACAATTTAACGAAAAGAAAGAAAAAAATAATGTATTCACTTTTTCAGACTTCCAAAAAACTATTTACTATATTTTTAATACGTTCGATCACCCCACATTATTATGAATTCGCTCGTAAATCGAATACAATTACCTAGAAATGGAATAAAATTGATGAGCAAGACACCAGCCGGCGTCGTACCAACCAAAACAACGAAAGTCGCCGGTAAAAATTTACTAAGAAACCTGGCATCTTGAGGTGTTTATCTCTGCTAAGCAAAGGAAGTGCGCCGAGTTGAAGGCCATAACAGTATTTTTACTTCGCACTTTTTCTTGCCAAGGTCAATACCCAATTGCGCTTCGGAAAAATCATCTGCATTTTTACCGGCAGACAGCGGTCGTCTCTTATAACCATCGGTTGTGGAAGTAGCACACTGCAAGACGCGAAACTACTGTAGTAGCTACTTTTTTTCGTAGTTTGTAGTGTAGTGTGATGCTATTTAAAAAAAATAGTAGCGAGTCGTGCAATACGAAAAATAGCGGTACTGGCAACAATTTTTACGTTTAGTTTAGTAAAGAAACAGGGTTCAAACACAACTAATTTTTCGAAATTTAAAATTAGAATTTTCGAAATTAAAATTTTAAATGCTCGTGTGACTGGGAGTTTACAGGAATTACGTAAAACTAATAAGAGCCCGGATTTTGAAGACCTAAAAAATCTCAACTAATGCCCTTAAAAAGTGCAAAAAATGCCCTTAAGAAGGGCAAAAAAAGACCTTAAAAATGCAAAAAATGCCTTAAATAAAGTAAAAATATTGAATTAAAAAATTTTTTTGCTCTTTAAAATTATTATGAGTCATTTAAAAAATATAAAGCAATGCAATACTTGTTCTACATTCATTAAATTTTGAAAAATATGTTTTATATCCTAAAATAACAAAAAAAGGAAAATATATTGACACCAAAATATTTTTATTTTGTATAGAAACTTTAATGGATATAACAACTTCCATCTCATAATATTACTAAATATCAGAATTACATTGGATTATTAAATGTTTTTTGATAATTTGAAATGTAAACGAGCGTCTCTTGTCTGAAAGTAAATTTTCATTCCTGCAGAAGCTTCTTTCAACGTCTACTGATGTTATAGGTGCGTACTTGAAAAAGACGGTCTCACTTACTGACAATTCTTCTTCAATTTGAAAAGATTTTGCTTCACCTGTTAATATTCTATAGATTTTCTTCATTGTTTGGAAGCCAGTGTAATAATGAAAATTGATAAAAAATAATAAAAATTGGAAAAAATTAACAAAAAACTTTAAAAAATGCATTAAAATGCAAAATACGCCCCAAAATTTAAAGAAAAATGCCCTATAAATCTAAAAAAATGCTCTAAAAGACAAAAAATGTCCAAAAATGCAAAAAATGCAAAAAAATGCAAATGTCATCAAAATCCGGGCCTTACTAATAATTAAGCTAGCAATTCCAAGTAATAGATAATTTATCACTTTAGTTGCGCTTTCACATGAAGCAGAGAAAATTGAAGAAGAGAAGAAAAGAATATTTTGCGAATATTGAAACATTGATGTTATTTCATTTTCAAAGGAAGAAAACATATTTTCGATGTACTTAATTTCTTAGAGGAAATAGAAGAGCATTAGCCATTTAGCAAAATTGGGAGTATTTGATAATTTCCTAGCATTTCTAAAATTAAATATTCGCTTTCGAGAAAGGCATAAGAAGTTGAGGATCAAATAAACAAATTCGAAAAAAAAATGTTTTAGAATAACAAACTGACAAGTTAGTACGAATAAATATTTCTAAATAATTCTTCATCTTTAATGTAAGCCAATTTTTTTTATGCAAAACCATTTTTAACATAATATGTAAATTAATTTCTACAGCAGTGTCAATTTTTATTTTAACAGGATTTTTTTAAAATTCTCTCTAGTGAATACTGAGTGACCCCACTTCTCTGCTACGTAAGTCGTGGTATGAAGAAACGATGATGCGATACGTTAATATCAAATATTTCTTATCTTAAGTTTTATTTCGTATATATATGTATAAACAAGGGTTGCTACTCTTATACGAAAACGATCAAATTCTGATAATAAGAATATTACATTTATATTTCTTTTCTCAGGAAAATTAACTGTTCTTTATTAAAATTACAAACATTTGCTGACTTGTTTGCTCAATTTAGGCTTATAAACCTTTGTCAAGTAGAATAGATAGACCAATTTAGAGAAGGGCATCACAAAGAGTACATCCAGGGTTCGAACCCGCCAACTCCACACTTCACACTGCGTTTGACGGGTGATACCGCTGGACCAGGAAGCCCCAAAATAAATGTTAGACGTGATTAACACGCGATCTTGCATTTATTTCTATCTTTATTTTCTTTATATAAAATGGTGGTCAAAATACTTTTCAAATACATTTATAAATACAAATTATGAAAAGAAAAAGCATAAATTTTACTTCCACTTTAAACACACAAATAAAATATGAGAAGAAATTCATAAGATTGAATAACTATATAGTTTTAACTCAGATATAAAGCATTAGCGAAGAATTAATTGATTAATGAAAACGATTTTTACATGATGTTTATACTCAACCCTGAGGTTAATGAATGCGAAATTTATTTGATGTTTAAAAATCAGAATAAATGGTATAATGAAAACGATATTTATACGAAGTTTATATATAAACTCAGAATTAATGAAAGCGAATTTTATGTATATTTTCATTTCAGAATTGATGGTCATATGAAATAGATTATCTTTTCTTTTTCATTTCTAGAATCAGGAATGCGAGATGAATCATTGCTTGTTGATAAGCCAGCAGCTTTTAAAAATTTTGATGTTTACAATTCGAACGTGAATCATACATGAGTAGTTCATATTTGTGACTCCCAACAATTTGATTATCTATCTTCCTTCGTCGTTTTGAAAACATTAGTTGCATTGTTAAGGAAATAAGGTTAACGACGACTAAAAAAAAAAAAATCACGAAAGTAATATCTCTAATGAAAGGATCCAAAAACGACTACACGTGTATTAAAAAAAATGCGTTTATTTATTGGATAAGTTTCAGGTAAAGAGCAGTTGAATGATTCATAAATTTATGAGGTTTAATCCGTTAAATATACATAAATTATACACTCAGGATTTAAAATATATACTGACACTATCAGATCGGATAAATAACTACGGATTTTGAATAAGATTGTATATTTTTATTTAATTAGAAGCAAAAGTTATGTGTTTCTTTAATTCTTGGATTTAAAATGGTTCTGAATGTCACTATATATAAATGAATGCATCCATAAATGCATAATAATTATATGATGATGTGATCATATGATTATTATGCATTTGATTATTATGTTTATACATATTAATGTGATTAATATGCATCATATATGATTATATTGCATAATAATCATATATATTATATATATGATTATTATGCGTATAAAGATCTGGAAAAAATAAATGAATAAAAAATATTTCATTTAAAAATACTCAGGATTTTTATTTTTGGAAAGATTAAAAACTGTGAGTTATAGTTAGAAGTTAAAAATTTTAATTTTATATTAATTACCATTATTATTTTAAAAATCAAAGGGTTACTTTTCTTTTTTTTCAATTGAAAAAAGAAAAAGATATGAGCTGTAAAAAAATTATTGTCTTTAAGATTAGGAGGTTAGAGCGGACAGTTTTTGATAATTTATCAAAAAGCTAATCATTATTTTGATTATAGTTAGTATTTTTTTAATAAAATTTAATTAGTTTATTATCATTTTGTATGACAGATATGCTGATTTGGTATTAAAATTATTTATTAATCTTTTAAAAAAAAATTTTGTTCATCCTAGTCTCATAGTAATGGGCAAAGGTGGACTCATTTGAAAACTTACTGTTTAATCTATAATTACTTATAAAAGAAGCAAGTAATAACAAATTAAACTAATTTTAGTTAAAAATACAGTCTTGAGTAAATATAAAAATCTTTATGATAATTCAATACTTATTCTACAATTCCTCCCATTTTAGAAAGAGAAAAAATTCTTGAGTAAGGGGAAGCAAATGTTACTATTTACATTTTATTTTTGGTATAATAAAGTTCATTACAATGATTTAGCCATTACGATATTCAAGCAATTTTTAAAAAATGCTATATAAGACCTGGAGTTAGTTTGAAAAGGTTTTTTAAATGATAGACAAATTAAACAAAATTTGTAAACTTAAATTGTTACTACACTAGCACTATAAATATTGTAGGAATCTACAATTTTCGCTATTGGAAATATGCAAATGTTGTATCAGGGTTCATTACAGTTCTTTGAAAACCCTTAGAGAAAATGAGACGAAATTCTATCATTTAATAAATTTTGCGATCACCAATAAACGTTATTTTACAAGGAAAATATGACTCCCTGAGAAATCACAACCCATAAAAGATATTTATCTTTCAATTTTAAAGAAATTACCTTGAACTTTGAAATTTTTTTCAGGGGAGGGAAATTATTTTTAGGTACTCTAACTTGCACCGTATTCATTCTTCATAATCTATTTCAATAAAAAAAAATATAGCTAATCAAAAAATACAACTATAAAAAATTACGTTAATTAAAAAAATGTATTAAAAAAGTACTTTTAAAATATGTAAGAAGCATATTTTTTAGTTACATAATAACTAATTACTTTTATTTGTAAATGTGATGAAAAAAATAGTAAGTTGTAATCAAAGTAAAAGTTTAAAAGTTACTTTTCCATCATGAAAGTCATAATCATATTCTTTACACTGTTTTCTTTTTTCGTGTGCATAGACTACGGACAAAATAAAAATATTCATTCGATTTAATATATGAAAGATTCATAGCTGATGCATTATTTTTTTTTATCGGAATTTCGTACAGGTTCAACTAATTCGAATTTCGATAAAATGCTCGTAAGTATACAAAGCACAGATGTATTTTCTAGAATCCGAGAATTCATAGAGATAGTAACCCCTATTGATTTCGAAATTATCCGTTGTCAAAAGTTGATCAACCTTCTCGCATTGTTTTCGAGCAACGCTATAAAAGATATTATTTTTCTTGAAAATCTATCGCGTTTTTAGTTTCTCTTTAAATCGTTGCTATTCGTGACAATTTTTATAAGGATTATTTTTCTTTTATGTACACTGCAAAAGAAAAAAAAAGTAATCTCCTGAACAACTTTTCATTTAGTGATTGGAGATTTTTACATACATACGCCTTTAATGGTACGAGGCCGTAACCTCAAATACAGCTAAAATACTATAAAAAATTTCGGTTTTTAAATTAAATCAAAAATGAAGCGT